GTTGATGTATTTAGTACCCACAGAGAAATCATGGCTTGGCTTATTGGTGAAACTTGAAACTCATCACTAGTTAAAAAGGTATAGAGTCTAGATGTTTTTAAAAGTTGACCAATCGAGAGACACTTTCTGCCTAGTAATACTAGTAGTTACATTGCATATTATATCAGAGCAAGTTAATAGCATTAACTGTTGTTCTTAACACCTATAATGCTAGCACTTTTTGTCACTGCAATTTTCGATGCATTTTCTAATCAGGTCTGTGTGGTATCCCAAAGCATCTATGTACATCTGTTTAATTGAAATCTGAAGAATGGTCACCAGATGCAAATAGAACAGACATGTACTAATAAAAAAGAAATTGCAGTGGAAAGGTAAAAATAGTCAACCAATGTTAAAATATCTGTAACATCATTTACAATACAAATATGAAATAATAACAGTATATGATTAAAATAATGATTTAAATGTTAAAAACTAGAATACCACAATACCTTTTTCAGTCCCTATAAATGTATTTTCTTTGAGTTTTATTTCCGTATCTGGATTAAACACCAAAGGCTGAGAAGATTTGATAGATATCGAGATTCTCCATATCCGGATAAAAGTGTCTTGAGAACACGAGGCTAGCAGCAAATCACTGCAATCTGAAACAAGATGCTGAAAGAATTGCGATTTTTGTACACCAAGACACACCGACATACTGGTGAATTCTTTTATTACAATATTGTCAATAGCAATTTTTGCCAATTTTAATAAGGACTTTAATGAGGACAGCACATTGGGGAAGTGACTGTGACTCTGGTTGTTAGGATTCAGAAAATTTACACTGCTATAATATTTTAGTTGAAAGTCGGTCTAAATACTTACCATCTACAGCAAACTCTATTCCTCTGACCCAATCTTCATGACCATGAAGAGAAAGTACTTCAGTAAACTGATCATCCTGATACACATAGAGATGGATTTTACAGTCATCTCTGCCCAGTGATAGAATAGGAACTTAAAAAAGTAATAAAGGTAGATACAAAGTTGGTATGACAGTTACTAATAATAACATGCAGTATTGAAAGCATGGTATGAAGCCTGTAAGGTATAACTAATTGCTACTCTCAAATTTTTCATTT